CGGTTCAGCTCCTGTGTCGTTGAATGAGGTGCCTTTGCACACCATTAGCTGGTGGCAAACCAGGAGAGGTGATGGACTGGCCTGACCCTCCTCATTCAAACTCTCGAGAAGATGCTAAACCCAAGCTAACAAACCAGTGCTTCAGAAACCCAGGCACGCTTGAAGATATCAGGGCCCATATTTAATAAATGCAGGGCCTGTGCTTTTTACCTACAGTCCGAGCTTGGATTAGAGCAGCCCCTGAGCACAGCCAGCCATTCACGCCCGTAGTTATTCAAGCAACGAAGGCTGCATGCAGAGGGAAGGATGAAGCCAGATTATGAATGAAGCACCAGGATCGATTCCCTTATCTACCCTCCGCCTCCCACTAACTGGAAGATGCTCTTCAGGGAAAATATAATTTAAAGGCGGAGGCTAATGATGGATCAGATTGATTTTTAGGACAAGAAGATAGATGTAATTGCAGTCTACCTGCTTGCAGCTTGCCAAGTCACAGCGAGTTTCAGTACAACCCGGCCTCCTCTCCCCTTCCTCATCCCAGCCCCTTTTCTTCCTCTGTCCCCCAAAGAAAGAAAAAACCCTCACAGAAAAGAAATTCCTTTACACAAGACAATTAAGTGTTGCCCGGAGCCAGCTCAATGCTGGCTTCCCTCTCCCTGCTAAACAGTACAGAGCCTGAATTAATGGATGTGCAGAGGGTCCACTTTCCAGGGAAAAGCAAATTCCGAGCCTGCAGCTGGGAGGAATGCATCGTATGTCTGGTATTCACGCTGCGCCCTCTTTTCCTCTTCCGTTTTTTGGCCGTATAAGGAGCTGAGCACAGCAGGCTGGGCAGGGGAGCGCAACGCTGCCTGCTCAGCACCATTAGACTTCTGACTGTGTTTGTCTTTACTGGAAATCCAATCAATCCATCCAGGAAAAAGGCTAGCGCATACACCACGGAGCATCAGGCTCAGGAGATGCAGGATAAAAAGAGGAGCAAGCTGAACTAGACCAGCCCAGCAAGTGCTGCTGCTGAGATGCATGCACATGTACGCACGCACAGGCAATAATTTTCTTAATTACACTGGAGGGAAGAAGGGGTGCTAGCTTAAAAACTCAAGACTATTGCAGCTACAGTCCTAAAGGGTTGTTTCCCAGGTTAGCAGCACTCAAGTCATATCTGCACAGGAAATAAAAGGCAACCTGGCCCTCAGTGCACGCACCTGGGGCCGGGAGGATTACATGCCCTCAGCCACAGAGAAATACGTCCTCTCTAACACGCACAGGTTATAAACAGGAGTGTGGGACCATGCTTTAGGGATGCAAATCGCTGGGATTTTTTCCTAAAGTCCTGACAATCTCTAAGTTAAAGCCTATTGCTGCAATTTCAGCAGCAGACTGGGATTTCCATATCCAGGATGCAACTGCAATATTACATTCTAAAAAATAAAGCCTTTTTGCCATTGCTGCTTCTACTGTAAATAACAGACTATTCCTGTGGGCACCCAGGACTTTGCAGGAGCAAAAAGGAGAAGAGAAAGACTCCTCTGCCAAAGGCAGGAAATCCTGGATCACAAATACCCAGGAAGAATCTGCATCAACTCCCCTTTCTCAGCCCTGTTTGGCATCAGAAGAGCAGCTCTCGTTTCATCCTGCAGAGGAAAGTAGTGACAACAACCACAGGGATGGGGAGACAAACGTGGGATCGATCACCATCGGAGCACGGCAAACAGCCCCAGGAAAGAAGGAAGCCCACAGACTGCCGATGTCTGGATTGTCTCCAGTTCAGTCCCAGCTTTTCCTCCCGTACAGAAGTCCTGAAAAGATCTGCACAACCATCTACGCTGTTCCTTACCCTCAGCTACTTCAGAGCAACATGCTTCTGTCTGCTTTCCTCAGCCAGGCATCAGGGTCCCAAGCGAGGCCACGATAGAGCTGGCCAGGAAGAAGATGGGGAATCTTAAAGAAATCAGCAACTTGGCCCACTTCCCAAGGGTGTTGCCTTGGACGCAGGCTAGTTCTTGATGCCTTGAAGGATGATGCAAATCCTCCATAACAGGCAGGTTCACAATCTTCTGCCCCAGATACCATCTCATTCCAGTGTCCAAAACATAAAGATTGACTTAATCCTGAGGCAGGAGGTTTAATCTTGCTCCCAATTTTATTTTGTTCTTTTGCCAATAGTCATTAGTGCTGAAATAATTCTTCACACACACAGAAGCATCCGGTCTGCCTTTGGATCTTAGGTCACTGGCCTCAAAAGCCTCCTCTAGCAACAAGCCCCATGCTCTGAATTACAGGTTGGATGGCAGAGTTTGTTGTTTTGGTTTGGTTTTTTTACCAGTGTCAAGATTCTCATCTTTCAGCTTTGACTGACTATCGTATGTTTCTGTGTATCGGGACAAGGAGAACAGACACACCAAAGCTGCTTCCCCACTTACAGACGTCTCCCTGTGCTTCGAAGAGGACGATCCCAATGCTTTCAGTCCCTCCGCAAACACATTTAGAGGGCAGGACGCTGCCTGGGCAAAAGCGGGATGTTCCCCATCAGCACCCTCTCTATGGAGACTTATGGGTGCTGCCCTGTTGGATGACAATACCGACCTCCAGAGCCCCTCACACTTGGCCCCAGGACCACAGGAACAGACAGCAGCTCATGAGCGACCCAAATCCGCCCAACTTCCCTGTCCTGTCCTCCCACCTCTGCCAAATACGATGAGTCCCATCCCCTCCTCCAGCACCTTTGGGCTGCGGTTCCCCATTGCCACCCTCTCCTTGGAGGTCCAGTCCCACCTCGGGCAGCTGCCTGCTCCCAGCCCTCCACCTGTGCAGAGTTGCCTACACCAGGGAACGGGAAGGATAGCAGCCATGGGAAGGACAGTGGCCAGAAACCTCTTCATGACATCCAAATAGAGTCTTCAACCTTCACCTGTTGTATTCAGATGGAGTCATGGATGCTCTGAAGCACCCAGTGGAGTGATTTGGATGAAGACACATGGTTGAAACTCGACTGGGGGAGGGAAAGATTTCTAGCCTCATTAATAACAGCCTGAAATTAAAAGCAGAGCTTGTAGTACAGCTGCGATTCCAGCTACCCCGCTGCTTGTGTTAACAGTGTGGCTTTATTATGGTCAGGATTAAAAACAGCTCCAACAATTAAAGGAGG